GATTCATCTGCTGGCAGCACTTACTGGCCCTTACCGGCGACCAACGCGTCTGCCCGCAAAAGCAACAACACCTAATTGATGAATCTACGCGAAACTGCACCAGTGCATGCGACACCTAGGTTTGAAATTCAAAACCACAAAAGTGATGATGTACTAAAAAATATTCAATATGATTTGACAGCTAGCAAAACGTCATTATCATTTTCACGTAGATTCATCAATAGCGAATTCGTTTATTGTTCAGTTCCAACCTTGATCGGGTATCAAGATAGGGTCTGCTTGTTTTCTGACAAACGTCAGTTTGCTCGTTTGTTTTTAAAACCTAGCTCAGGTTGAGGTTCACACTGACAAAAAGTTCGGTTTCGCACTGGGTTGGAACTGGTGTTAACCCCGATAATAAACGAATTCGCTATAAGTCTCAAAGCTCTCTGGACGTCCCCTCGAAAATGCAATCGAGAAATGTATAATAAAAATCTTCAACTGGAACGTACTCACCAAATGAATACATCCGGGAGCACATTCCTGGCGCTTATTTTTCTCTCGCAATCCCGTCGTCGTCGAACGTCAAAAAAAGGGAACTCGGTGAGCACTTTTGTGATACGGAATTTTCACTGAACATAAACCGCGAATTCACGAATTTCATCACACCCAACTGCGAAACACGTTCAGAAGCACTTTTGGTACACTTTCGATCAATTTCTATCGCAAACACTTTTTTTTGTAAAGAAAGTTGCAAGCGAGCCAACATCAACACCGATTGTCTGGAATGATGATTATTATACAAGCTGTAAATTTTCTACTCACGTAGCTGACATCCTTTTCCGATTCAGTCAAAAACAACTGTAATTTTTCAAAGCAGTGCTATGTAAAAAGTACAAGTGAATATTTATAGTTTTTGGCCATAACACATGATTAATGCTTTTCAATAAAATATCTCTTGGTTACTATGTGTGCCTGTATGAATTTAATGTGAGTGAAATAATAAATAACATTTAGGGGCTTATTACGGATGTCACTTCACGGTGAAAACTTGTCACTTGTCGTCACGGTGAAGTGATTCCCATTTGATTTGTACGGTAATCACGGCTCTTATTCTGAGTATCACTTGCTTATCACCGTGTAGTGACACCCGTAATAAGGCCCTTAGTTTAAGGTAATGAGAAGTATAAGTGTATTCTTATGAACAAAATAAAAGATTTTCTTTGAGTGTGTAAAAGTCAAACGCAAGGGTTATTGACTATGCGCGTCACAGGTGGCGGTACTACCAACCGGTGGAAACTAACGATTTTAAATTGGCTCACTACTTGACTAGCCTATTGGTCCCAAGCAAATCGATTAACGTACCCCATTCTAGTCGAAATTCTAGTACTACGCTATGTTTGTTTTGATCCGCTATGAAAGTTTGACATATATAATGAGGGGTTCGTAGATTTTCCTAGGGGCACGCAATAACCTTTAATTCCAACGCAGGGAACGGCTGTAATTAAATTAATTCCATTAACTACTGCTTTAATAACATTAATTACACAATGTAGAACATTAACTAGTTTTTAACTCCATTAATTACAGTTGAAATTTCGTAATTAAAGTACATTAATTACATTTTCAATACCTTTAATTATATTAATTACGTATAGATAATTTTAATTACCGTCAGTACTACATCAAAATGCATTAATTACTTTAAGTACTTTTGATTGCCTTTTAACTTCAACGCACCGGTTCTTTGTATTGCGTGCCCCTCGGGATTTTCCTATGTTTCGAGGGGTGCATCGATTAGCTTTGGACCGAAGAGAGTACAGCCGAAATTCGCTGGTTGGGCCACCACCTCGGTCCAACTAACGAATTCGAATCGAGTGATGATGGATCATTCTCATCATCCGTGAGCAAATCATATTGATTACTCAAATTAATTTCATCAGAAGGGGGATCAAGAGTTTGCCCCTTTCTTTTGCGCTTAGGCGCCATGGCAGCAGTATTTTTTTTAAGGTAAAAATTTTACAGGTTGAGCACTGAAAAGTGCTGTTTAAATTTGTTGTAGGTTTAGGTTCCTTCAGCAAAAAGCAAATAGATCCGCATGACAAAAGAGCACGATGTAGACTCAGCGAACACCCAACTAACGAGCACCCCAACTAAACGAGCAACCAACGGACGAATCTCCGCTGTACCAAAGCTGAGCCAAAAAGTTAAGCACGTTTCTTCGGGACCTTCTGGTCTTAGAGTTACCTCTATGGTACTACCAAGTAAAAACTTGACCGTTAAATGGGTATTCGATGAACAAATTGCCAGTGTTATGCCTGTTTGTCTGTGTTTAAACTACAATAAATACATAACATTTTCTTCTAATAACGTTTTATTCTAAACGAAGCATATTCTGAGATGCATCCGATTGAAAGCGTATCGATTCTAAATTGTCAGGGGTTTAGGATATATAGATGTAACTCAAACACTTTCTCCTTTTTGGCTACGTTGATGGCTGGAAGCATTTCATTTTCAAGGGGGTCAGGGGCCATAATACAACAGGGAAGGGGACAGAAGTTAGCAACACAGCATCTTTACCCATGGGGGATAAAAAGTTCTGCGAGGTACACTTATGGTGAACCAGCTGCTCAGGGATTGTAGAAAGGAAAAGGATTGGGTAGGTTTTGTGTGAAAACTGCATAAGTTATTATCGTATCGTTGAACGATGGCCTCGTTTTGTTAGAGCATCGATTACACCACACCGTCAATGAAAAAGAAATTATAATAGATTGAAAGAGATTATTACCATAGAGGTAACTCTAAGACTAGAAGCTCCCGAAATAACGTGCTCAACTTTTTGGCTCAGCTCTGGTACTCTCTTCGGTCCCAAGCTAATCGATTCACCCCTCGAAACATAGGAAAAACCAATAACCCCTCATTTTATCTGTCAAACTTCCATAGCGAATCAAAACAAACATTGCGTAGTACTAGAATTTCGACTAGAATAGGGTACGTTAATCGTTTGCTTGGGACCAATAGGCTACTAAAGTGGTGAGCCAATTTAAAATCGTTAGTTTCGTATTGATTGTTGTTATTACTGAGTTTTAAACTGTGATTTACCTATTAGAAATAAATTTGTAAAATTTTCACCGTGTACTGAATAGCCATCAATGAGATGGCAATATGTAAGGCTCAGTGAACCTGTCATCCCTCTCGCCCTCCCACCGCCTAAACGTCTGAAGAAGTTTGACTTCAAACTCCGTCATCCATTCAATCAGCCGGAGAACGAAAGAGTGTGCAATGAGCGTCAACGACCATTATGACGAATTGTGTGTACCAACTTTGGCTTTATAGCTGCCCTAATGGATCAATGGAAATGCTGAGGTTTTGACAGAACTGTGCTGTGGCTACCACAGTATTCTACATTTGATCGTCCATATACAGTAGCGCCAAAAGCATGCTGTGGTGGATTCAAAACTCGACAATCTAAAATGATCAATTAACGAGCACCATACATGAACGATACCACAAATCGTGACACCCTACCACCGTACCACATATTGTTGGGATGATAACCCAAATAGGTTGTTAAGCACTCCTTATGGTTATTGTTTATGCGGGTGTTTCAAAGCAATTTAAATCTAATCAATCCTCTATGATACCCAACCCGTGCAATGTATTTAATGTTGAGAACCTTGTGTGCTTTATCATGAGTGATCACGGATCTAGCAATCCTCACATGACTATTCGATCTAGGTTTTATACAAGAGTACTAGAATAGATCGGAGTATACTTACAGTTTTCGACGTTCCCATGTACCCTTGTTTACCTTCAATCCTACTTCCTTCTTTTGTTGTATTATGTTTGTGGATATGCCACTTCCATCATCCTTCTGACACAAGATAATGGATCCTGTCTTCAAAACTGAGGGGATTAAAATTGCTCCTCGTGCACAACCCTTCCAGATGACAGTCCGCTCAGCATCCGAAAGAGCGCTCGGTCCGTAATGCATTCGATATGGTTTGTAATGTGACATAGAAAACAACAAAAAGAAAAAAACCGTAATATTAGCAATAAAACAAAGAAAATAATACAAGCTGAACACTGCATAAGGTCCCAAGCGACACCGAGAGACTCTCTTCATCGATCCCCTCCCTGCAACTAGTGCATTAAACGGAAAACACGAAAAGAAAAGGTTTTGTAGCAAAGTTATTAACAAAGGAGCAAATCGATAAAGAGACTCGATCAATGTCACCTAGGACCCCACGCACTGCTCAGCTTGTATAAACAATATCACATCACTAACCCATTTTCGTATCATATCGGCAATCATACAATCATCGAAATGAAGGGTTAGTACAACAATATGGGAAAACTTAATGATGTGATATTGTCACTGTGGAACTAGCACTTACACAGAAAAAAAAAGTTGTTGAATATTACATCCAAACTGCTGCAACCAGGTCAATCCATCGGTTGTGTAATATAACGTTGTACGATGTACATCGATTTTGCGAACAAAATTACATCCATTGATGTAATATTATATCTGCTTTTTGCTATTACAGCATTATTTCGTACATCAGCTTGAATTACATTGATCGATATTACATTTTTTTTGCTGTGTAGCTTCAGGTCTCTACAAGTAGCCATTGCGTCACGTTCAGCGCAAGGGGCTACGTTGCTGGCTGGAAGCAATTATTAAATTTTAAGAATAATTCATGCATCAATGTAAGTCTAGATGGTCAGTTTTGAACCCACAGCATGCTTTTGGCGCTACTGTATATGGATGATCAAATGTAGAATACTGTTGTAGCCACAGCACAGTTCTGTCAAAACCTTAGCATTTCCATTGATCCATTCATCGCAAAGCACTGAAGTCCTTAGGAATACCACTACCTACATATATAGCGCATTTCAGCGAATGTCCGCCATGTGTTCGCGTAGAAAAACTTCTTCTTAAACTCACACACCTTTAGCCTTCAGTTCGATTACGCCTGCACCCGCAGTATCGTAGAGTGCTTCCAGAAGTACGGTCGGTTAAGTTCGATAATTTAATCAAAATTTTTGCCCGGTCTTATCAGTGACCCTATAATAGGAATTAATCAACATCTAAATCACCATCTCGAAATGTTCCTTAAAGTGAATCAGGTAAACAACTATTAAATCAAAATCAGTCCAATTTCATCGTGGTAGTGGTAGTTGTTACCAGGGGCCGGTTCATGCATAATGTAAAATAATAAGAAAAAAAAATGTGTTTTTGTATTAATATCTCCTGATTGCCTGACCGGTGATTGTGTAACATCGAGACTAATTTGAATATTTTCCTGCTCGTTTTCAAGGCTATCGCACAGGGAGCTCGTCGATATTCGACAAAAAGGCACGATGTGGTAATTGTAGCCGCAACCCGAACTCCGATTGGAAGTTTCCAAAGCACTCTGTCGTCCCTTACGGCATCACAGCTGGGAGCGGTTGCTGTGCAAGGTGTTGTGAAACAGGCCGGCATCGCTGGAGGAGACATCCAGGAAGTCTACATCGGAAATGTGAACGCTGCTGGTTTGGGTCAGGCTCCGGCCAGACAGGCCGTCGTTTTTGGCGGACTTCCGACGAGCACTATCTGCACTACCGTTAATAAGGTATGCTCATCTGGAATGAAGAGCGTTATGCTTGGAGCGCAGACCTTGATGCTTGGTCAGCAAGATGTTGTGCTGGCCGGTGGAATGGAGTCGATGTCCAATGTGCCATATTATCTGAAGCGAAGTGCCACGCCATACGGTGGAGTACAACTGCAGGACGGTATTGTGTTCGATGGATTGACCGATGTGTACAACAAGTTCCATATGGGTAACTGTGCTGAGAACACGGCTAAGAAAATGGGCATCACTCGTCAGGATCAGGATGAATTCGCTGTTAACAGCTATAAACGCAGTGCTGCTGCCTGGGCTGATAAGGCATTCGATGCCGAGATCACTCCAGTAACGATTCCCGGCAAGCGTGGCAAACCGGACGTTGTTGTGAAGGAAGATGAAGAATACAAGCGTATCAACTTTGATAAGTTCGGTCAGTTGGCCACAGTATTCCAGCGGGAAAATGGTACTGTTACGGCTGGAAATGCTTCCACCTTAAACGATGGAGCATCGGCTCTGATCCTGATGACCGCCGAAGCTGCTGAAAAGTACAAGTGCAAGCCGCTGGCTCGTATTGTTGGATTTGCTGATGCTGAGACCGATCCGATCGATTTTCCAATCGCTCCAGCGCTGGCCATCCCGAAACTGCTGCAACAGAGCGGAGTTCGCAAAGAGGATGTAGCAATGTGGGAAATTAACGAGGCCTTCTCGGTTGTCGTTGTAGCCAATCAGCGTAAATTGGATCTAGACCCATCCAAGATCAACGTTCATGGTGGAGCCGTTTCGCTGGGTCATCCTATCGGAATGTCCGGTGCTCGCTTGGTTACTCATCTGGCTCACTCGTTGAAGACCGGCGAAATCGGTTGTGCTTCGATTTGCAACGGTGGGGGCGGTGCTTCGTCGATTCTAATCGAAAAATTGTAAGGAATTTTCTTTCAACAACAAAAACTCACAATGTGCTTCCGAAGATTCTGTAAAACAGACACACAATAATCAGGGATTCATGATAAAAACATGTGCATTTATTAGATTTTTAACAAGGCTCCTTTATGTAATGAATTTTTTGAAAATAAACCATATGCAAGAAGTGTAACTGTTTGCTTTCCGTTTCTATTTCATGTCTCTGCTTTGAATAAAGAGCAAATCCGTCTCAGCAAGATCCAGAGTCTGGTCGAACCGTACCAACGTTGACCCTTTATACCCACGATCATTGCTCGTTATGCGATGATTTGGTTGAGGAATTGGAGGCAAAATTCAGTGGACGATATCGACTTGAAAAAGTAGATATTACGAAAAAAGAGAATGTCAAGTTTTTACGATTGTACCGATGTGATATTCCGGTGGTGTTTCTCAATGGACAGTTTCTTAGCATGCATCGATTGAATAGCAATTTGTTGGAGCGTAAGTTAGCCGAATTGAATGAGAAATAAATGTGCCATTCTTATATGCTTGAATTGAAATCCGAAATCTTGTATTTTATAAACAATTAAGGCTTTAGGGTCTACTAAGCAACATCACACTGGAGAGGTGATGGTTTCAACACTCGGTTGAAGATATTTCCATTCGTCGAAAAAGTTGCGGAATCCCAGGGATTACCCTATAATAATCAATCACTTAGTCAAGCAGTTTTCGGAAGACCTTCTACCATAGATTTTAAGAAAATTAAGCAATACATTCTGTAATGTTTTTAGACTGACCAAACATAAAACCCTCTTTTCTCGAAGTTATAAATAACTTCTATAGAAGAAAGAACAAATTTTAAAATATTGCTCCGTGGTAAGTTTCGAGTTGTAGCAAACGTCATTTTAAACCGCTCGAATTATGTAATTAATTGATGCAACATTTCTGTAGATAGCATAAAGTTTGCTTTGAGTATCTCTGATATGAGATTGCAAATCTTTGTGACCATCATAATAATCTCTTCATTGTTCTCGTTGAGGGTAAGGGAGTCAATCTTCACTTAAAAATCAGATAAGTGATGTAAAACTTGTGTGCATCAATGCGATTACAAATTTATGAGCGGTAGCGGTAGCATAGGGTAATGGAATGTGTGTGGAATTTCTCTAGAATTAAGTTTTGCTTTGGCATTCTAATAATTTTATCTGAATTTATTGTACCTTTACAAGAGACCGCTATCGCTTCTTGTAGAGACATGGTTTCAAACTGAAGTGCTTACCTTTGAAGGAAGATTTGTCTACGGACCGAACCTTCTTGAAGTTAAAAAAGTAGAACAACTTGTGATTCAGGTCCTTATTGTCCAACAGGTAACCACACTTGTGCACACAATCGATGAACTCTTTGACATTATTGTAGCGAGATGATACCTCGGCTATTTTCAACAATCCACTGAAAATATAATTTTAATTAATACCTAGGTAGCAAAATAACTCACAACACAAAACCGGCCGCTCACCCAACTTTCAAAACTCGATTGGCTTCCAGCAGAAAGTCCCTCAGGTTGGTTCCCATCAGTGAGAGACAAAACACGGCCACATTGATCGAATTCGTTTCCAGCGGGGTATGTGCCATATCGCAGGCAATTACACTATTATTGGCCGCAACCAAATCCAAAGAATAGACTTTCTGTTCAATGGCTTCTGCCAAACGCGCCTCTCCACACCCGAAGTCTGCCACAACGTAATCAGCTGGCCTGAAATTAAAATTCCATCAATAATGAGCTGTGAAATAATAAAAAAAAATCCTACTCTTACAATTTGCTGAAACTTTTAATGATCCGATCCAGTGGATTTACAGACCACTGAACAATCTGATGCCGGTATCCTTCGTGATACGCCTGAAATGCACTGGGATCTTCCTGAAACAGTAGCTTCGCCTCTGTGCCTGTGGTTTTGTACAGTTGCTCGTTGATGAACCGAAACCGAGAGCCCTTCAGACTGTCAACCAATTTTTCGCGAAAATCGGATGTTTTAGTAATAGTGGGTTTGGGTTTACTTTTAGCTTCGCCGTTCAAGCTTTCTGTTGCTACAGACCCGTTCTTACGTTTCTTATTTTTCGGTTTAGGCAGTTCCGTGTCGTGCTGAAGTTCAACAGTTTCGTTGGATTTTCTTTTAGCAGATTTAGGTTTGCCATTTGTTGTTGTGACAGGTTCGCTATTATCAAGAAGAGGTGCCCGTACAAACCGGCCAGGTTCATCAGGGTTGTTGTTGCTCTGTGATTTATTTCGCTTAGGACTCTTCTTGACAGGCTGAAGATAAGAAAACCAGGTCGTTAAATTTCACATAGCAATTTATTGAATCACGCTTACCTTTTGTTTCGCAAAACTAAAATTTATCTGCTCGGAAATGTCCTCATTGTCCCAATCGTGCTCTGTGAAGATTTTATCCATGATTTCAAATAATTTTTATACAAAATTTTGTTTGAAACAGACAGCACAAAACGTGTTGAGCGAACGACCTCGCGAACGAAACGAAACGACAAACAGACGAAAAAAACAAAAACAACGTTTGCTCGCCAGTGTAGCCAAAACACATAAATGTCGAACTGTCATTGGTATACAGGAGATGGATTCTGAAGCAGAGCTGCCAGGTGGTTTTATAAAAAATCTGTATCCACTCTATTAAAAAATCTGTATTTTCTGTATTGACGATTTTTTTCTTAATTAATAATGTTTTGTTGTTTTACAAATACAGTGCATACAAAATAACCATAAAAAGTGCTTAACCACCTATTCGGGCTATCGTATTAACCATACAGGATATAATTGCGCCATTTGTGATATCGTCCGTACTTATTTATAAGAGTGATATGAAGCCGTTTGAAAATGTATGGAGATTTTAGTTTATATTCATTATCTTCCTGATAAGCAGTTTTAAATGCAAAAAAGTGCACGAGTTCATTACTATTTGATATTTTTAATATAGATGAATACAATTAATTACATCATTTGTGTGGTAGTTACACCGAAAAGTCGAGAGATGTTGCCCCGCCAGTGCTGGTAAAATCATTTTTGCAGTATGGAGAATATCAGAAAATCCGCAATTTCTTACGAAATACATTTTCAATGCAAGTAAAATGTTTACGAGTACTTGTATTTGTACCATTTTAATGTGCTCGCGCACTTTTCTTGTATTTAACATACATGCTTATATTGGAAATATTCAATTAATACTGTAAATCCCCATACAATCAAAAAAGTTATTTTGTTTTTATAAATTTTGAATTTTTTTTCTCAAGCATTTTATAAAAATCTGTATAAATCTGTATTGTAATTTAAAAATCTGTGATAAATCTGTATTCTGTATAGGGTCTGTAATTAGATTAAAAAATCTGTATATTACAGATAAATCTGTATAAATGGCAGCGCTGTTCTGAAGCAACAAATCAGTGCCAACATTTCAAAGGGGCGTAATTGATTTTTGTAAACAATGGCTTTAGCCGACAATTCAGTGCTAACATTTGAAAACGGCGCAAAAGCCATTTGTAAACAAATGGTTTGTGGGCCCTTTACTCGCTACCCGAAGAACGCCCACGCAAACCAACAGCATCGTCAGGAAGGGGAAAATTTCCCCTACCCGATGTTGCTGTTGTGTCGCGTGGGTGTACTTCAAGTAGTGAGTAAAGGGCCCACAAACCATTTGTTTACAAATGGCTTTTGTGCCGTTTTCAAATGTTAGCACTGAATTTCTCGCGAATGAAATCTTACCTCTCCAAAATTACAATGCTAGCTATTTCGGATCATTTTCAATACTGATATATAATCAAAAAAGATTAAAATTCAATCAAAAATTATTAAAATAGAATCTAAAAAGATTAAAAATTTATTCAAAAAAAGATAATCTACAATCTAATCAACCATGATTAAACTGGGATTAATATCAGATGCTTATTTTTTAGAAAGAGAGGATAAATTTTTAATCATTCGATATGATTAAACTGAGTTTAATGTCAAATTGATTAAATTTCAAGCAAAATAGGAATAGTTCAATTTATCAGTGTACGTTGCATAATAGCAACAATCAATACGAAACTAACGATTTTAAATTGGCTCACTACTTGACTAGCCTATTGGTCCCAAGCAAACCATTAACGTATCCCATTCTAGTCGAAATTCTAGTACTACGCAATGTTTGTTTTGATTCGCTATGAAAGTTTGACAGATAAAATGAGGGGTTATTGGTTTTTCCTATGTTTCGAGGGGTGATTCGACTAGCTTGGGACCGAAGATAGTACCAGAGCTGAGCCAAAAAGTTGAGCACGTTATTTCGGGACCTTCTGGTCTTAGAGTTACCTCTATGATAATAGCATAGAGGTAACTCTAAGACCACTGGGTCCCGAAGAAAATCATTATTATTTTTGGCTCACTCAGTACCAGAACAACGGTCCCAAGCAGTCCCAAGCTATTTCACTCACCCCTGCATGTTCTGCATGAATCCACACACCCCTGATGTTATCTGTCAAATTTTCATAGCGAATCAAAACAAACATAGTGTAGTAATAGAATTTCAAATAGAATAGGGTACGTTAATCGTTTGCTTGGGACCAATAGGCTACTAAAGTGGTGAGCCAATTTAAAATCGTTAGTTTCGTATATTGATTGTTGATAATAGTACGTTCAGATTAGAGTTATAACTTGTCATAGCGCTGTGTTGATGGTGGTTTCTGTGTTGCAACGTATGTAACTGCTCAGTCTGGCCAGTGCTTAAGCTTCCATTTTGGGCCTTTTCAGCAGTAAACATCAAATAGATCCATGATCTCGGCGTTAACAGGTAAATTATGATTTTGGTACGATACTTTAGTTCAAATGCTACCGAACGAAGTCAATAAGAACGCGTGATATGAATGTTTGCACCCAATATTCTCAAAAACAAATGAAGCGCTCCAAAAGAATCAATTTGTAACTTTATCCGATAGGCCGATGTGAATTCATTGGCGTTTCAATGGAGTTTCAATGCGTTAGGCCGATTTTAGAATCCGTACGCCGAGTTTGGCGTCAAAAAGCAGTGTTAGACTTTTAAAAATATCTCAACAATTTGTTTCTCTATATCAAATCTTACGGTACGTACGGAAAGGTAAATAAATTTAGAAGCCATCAGTAATAATAACATTCTGTTTGGAGCTAAACTACGCTAGATAAAGAAAGACTTAGTGCGGGTCTCGGTCCGGGTTGTGCTTAATAGGCCGGAAATGGGGTAGTTAACCCTATACGAACATAATAGGCCTTTAATGTACCACCATCGTAAAGTGCGCCACGCGAGCTCGAGAAGAAACGTCAACCAAACCGTTTATTTACATCAGAATAATTATTTTTCACAACGCAAATTAAAGCATTTTTAATTCAATATCTTGCCAAATTCCATCGGTAATTGTCTTATTGTACGATTTTCCACAGATCTGAACTGATTTGTACCTTAACTATTCACACACAAGAAATCCGGAAGATCATTCTAATTTTCCATTTTTCTCAACAAAAATATTCCTGAACACCAGCAGGAGCTTTACAAAAACGTTACAGAATTAAATTTTTCAACTGTAGATCAAGTTTTGGAGCATCTCTGATAAATCAATTTATCAGGAAAAGTAAAAAAGTGTTCCGTTTCCTATCTCATGGTAGAAATTTCTGCTCACAACACTCTTTTTGACGTTTTCCTATTCATCACCAGAGGTTGAATCGATCGTTTAGTTTTTTATTAAAAAGGCGTATATCAACTTGAAACCTGGGGGGGGGGGGGGGGGACGTGCTGTCAAATCAGCCTACTGATCATTCTTGTATGAAACTGGCTCCAAACGTAAACAATAACTGTAGGTTTCTTATGGCTTGTTTACCTTTGGAACCAGTTATGCGAGGCATTCGAGGTAGGCGACGATTGTTCGTATTTGACAGCCACCTCCCCCCTTGCTTGAAACGTGATGCTGTCTTTAGCAAAGTTGTTCCTTATGCCTTGTTCAGACTACAGAGTTATAACATGTAAAACTAAATTTATGGTAATTTCGCGGAATCGAATAAATGAGAACGTCTCTGTTGTAATTGGTAATGAGACTACACTGAAGTATTTTTTTACACGGTTTTAATTTAACACATCCATTTTACACGGTTTTTACACGATTTTTTACACGGTTTTTCGCGTTTTTAACGATTTATCAACAACGATACAACCTATCGACTTGATTCCAATCACATTATCCGTTTCCAGCTATAGGTAATCGAATGGCATACTTTAAAAAAAAAAATCAAAATTTTTGGTGTAAGTACAGAAATTTTTAAAACATGTCTATATGGATGTCTAATGTCTAATTACGAATGGCATCGAAATCCGATTTTTTTAAAAACATTTAAGCATGTGAAAAATCAAAATCTCGTAGGTTTTTTTTACACGGATTTTTTTTACACGGTACATATCTCCCGTGTAAAAAAAGACCTGAGGGTATTGATCGCGTTCGGGAGATTATATATCTTGGCGTGATTATTGATGACAAATTTAAGTTCAACTCACACATTGACAATGTCTTCAAGAAAATTGTCAAAAAGTATTTAATTCTATGTCGACTGAAAAAACGATTTAACTATTTCCAGTAAAATATACAAATCAATCATCTCTTCTCATCTAGACTTTTGCCCTTCCATTTTATTTTTGGCCAATACAACACAAATATCGTGATTACAGCGCTTACAGGATAAAATAATGCGTTTGATTTTGAATTGTAATAGATTCACTTCCTCAACTTTGATGCTAGACGCCTTACAATGGTTGTCTGTGAAGCAAAGAATTGTGTATTTGAGTATGGTGTTCATTTTTAAAGTAGTTAACGGTTTGCTGCCTCGATATTTGTGTGATCGAATTGAAAGAGGAAGTGACTTTCATAGATTTAATACTAGAAACGCAGTTGAAATAAGAACACCACATTTCTTGACTCGTGCTTCACAAAATTCATTATATTATAAAGGAATAAATGTTTTCAATTCGATGCCTAGACATATCAAACGTTCAGCAACACTTAAATAATTTAAAAGACACTGCATTTCACACGTTAAAACTATCTTTTGAACAGTTATAGTTTTTATGAATTGACAAATTATGTATCTTGACGAATTTATCTCTAACAGGTTATTTTATATGGATAGCTGTCATAACGACTTTTTTTTAATAATTATTGTAGCACTGCAAAAACTATTTCTGTTCGCCACGCCGGTGATTATGGATTTTTTAATATTTGATTAGGGATTTTTTAATATTTGATTTAATAGAAGTAGATTTAAAAAAGTAGTCTACAAAGGTTTGAGCTTCGCGTGCGTATTACGGATATAGAGGACTTAATTTAAAATTTGATAAAAAAAAAAAATGAAATTTTGAAGCTTATTTGGAAGATACCTTGAGTTAGTAGTAAGTTTTCTGGCAAATTTTAGGGGTTCGTGAGCATTCCTGACATTGCTGAAAATTATGATAGCA